TGTTTGTTTCTTTAAAAAAAGCTATTTGCAATGAAAAAGTAATTGTTGCTGTGCTTATGTGGTGTTGGGGTCATTCTGATTCATAGCGAGCCCATTAACAACAGAAGGGAACACTGTGAGGTCCTGTGCCAATCTGTCTCGTTGGGGATCTTCCAATTTGTCGCTGACCCTCCACTTTACCAAGCATGATGTCCTTCTCCAGGGACTGGTCCCTCCTGCTAACAAGTGTGAGAGACCAAGTCTGGCCAAACTGTCTTCTAAGGAGCTTGTTCTTCTGACAGTCCATGGGACTTTTAAATATTCTCCACCAACACTAGAACTCCAATGCATCAATTCTTCCCTGCTTTTCCTTATTTATTATGAGTGTGAATGTGCTAAATACCACGTAATCGTGTACTTTGAAACCTCCAGAAACATTTCACCATTTTCAGCTCTGGGGTTAGATGGGAACCAACGGTGTGTCTGATTGGAAGAGGCACATCACATAGCAGAGAGCCTGGAGGCGGCCCCAGCACTTGGGACTGGCAGGGTTGGGCTTGTAGGTTCTGAAGTCACTCAGTGGATCCGTCTAGAGTCCTCCCTGTTGTAATCGAGAGCCAGGCCCCAACCCGGGCCAGAGGAGTCCCACTGTGGCTCATGGAGAGTGGCCCTCTCTCCTTGTGTTAGAAGGAATCTGACTTAGTGGGATGGGGGGTTTTGAAGAGGGTTTGCCCTTCAGTCCTGAGCTTCAGCCCCCGTTGTCCCCTCACAAGTCAGCTTGGAAGGGAAGGTTGTGTGCTGGTGAGCTGCCTCGATGTCCCTGGGTGGAGGGACTCAAAGCACTTCCGTTCGCCTTATGCGCTTTGGGAATTAGAAAGGAGATGCAATCAGCTTGCACCAAGTCACTTGGACTAGTGCTTGGAAGAAGGGCAGTCTGTGCAAACAAGCTCATGACTGGTGGGGATGCAGAGTTTCTAGCAGAGGTGGAGAGTAATCTTCAGCACACGGAGAGTCATTGGAGACTGTGGAGGGGAGGACAGGAGGACATTGGAGTGGGCTTCAGCTATTTGAAGTGTTGGTGTAGGACCGAGAAAGTAGATTTCTTCTAGATGGTTTCAAACGAGGTAGGTTTGTACTCAGTAAAGAAGGCACTTTTTAATAGTGAGAATTTTCTAACAGTGGGCTGGATCAACACCCTTTGCTTTGCACTAGAAGCAAAGTGGATTTCTTCTAGATTGTTCCAGAGAAGGCAGGTTAGTACTGGATGGATGAAGCACATAGGTAATGAGAGTTGTTACAGGGGTTCTGCACCCTTCCCTGGATGTCCTCGGGGGCCTTGGGCTCTTCCTGGTGTGGGAGACTATCTCAGAGCAGAGTCTGATAAATATGGAGGACCACCTTCAGCCGAGCCCTCCTAGCTGAACCGTTCTGTTCTCACTGCCCCGCCAGTCCTTGCACGGCATCAGCCTGTCCCTTCTTAAACCTTTGACCTTTGTTCTGGGTTTTGCAAATCTGGAATTTTTGTGGAGGTGTTTTCTGAGGTTTCTGGGCGACTTGGCTGGCAGTCAGCCTACAGATCATTGAAAAGCTGGACAGGGTGCCAAGGTACCTTTTATGCCTTGGCTATGACGTTCTCTCCAGAGGCTGGCAGAGGGTCTTTGATGGTGGCTGCTGACAGCAGGGATGGCTTGTGGTCTGCGGACTTGTATGCGATTGAGTTACTTTGGCTGTGACTAGCCATACCTGGGTGCCTGGCCAAGAGCCAGGTAGTGGTGACAGTGAAGGTGATAAGCCTTTACATCTGAGGACAGGTCACAGAAGGCTCCCCAGAGGCCTCGCTTCCTCTTCTGTCCTCCGCAGAAGCACAGAAGAGCTCTAGGTGACAGCAAGTGACCTGTGCCATATTCCTGGCCCCTCACTAGTCCCAGACACAGTGCAAGATAGGGGAGGTGACAGACTCCCTGTGCCCATAGACTGAGGGCGAAAAGAGGGGCGGTAGGGCACGGCGATGAATGATTGACCAGGCACCGGGGTAGGGTGAATTGAGGGGAGATCAGAGAGATGCGAACTGCTGGGGGACCCACCTGCACCCCACTGCCTATACACATACCCTCACACTTCACTCACCCACAACCTCAGCCTCCACCCCTACACACCCCCATCACTACGCCCCACACATTTCCCCCTACACCACCCCACCCCCATTGCTCTATTTGTATCTCATCCAAACCCGCACCCCAAGACCCCCACTTCCACACACACCCCACCCTAACCCACACTCACACCCCATATAGCCACGTGCCCTCCACATTCCCCAAGCTCACTTCACTTACACACCCATCTACCCTCACCCATATCCGCCCTCACCCCCACAGCCTGCTTCGCTTACCCAAAAACACAAGGCCCAAAGCCCACTCTCTGCACCCCAGCCCCATGGGCCCCCCTCCCCAACCCAGGCCTGGGATGCTTCTCTGCCTCAAGCCACCCTGAGCCCCTCCCGGCATGACCCGGATGCTCCAGTACCTGGAGGCCTCCCGGACCTGCTTACATGTGACCCCACAGCATTTCACCCAGCCAGTGTCTCAGCGCCCCGGGTTGTAAATGTGCCGTCAGCACTTTGCAAGGACGCCTGGTGTGGTACTGCAGGTTAATGCAGTGGACTGCAAGGTCGGTTTGATCCGCAAGGTTGGCCGTTCAGGCTCACCAGCCACTCCTTGGAAACCCTATACAGGGCCGCTGTGGGTCCGAATCAACTTGACAACACATAACAACAACACTTTTCATAGGCTGCTGCCGAGGCTTCAAGAAAATCGTTAGCGCCTGACTGTTACTAAACCCTAGCTTTGATTCTTGGCTTGTCATCGTCAAGGCAGGGTGTCTAGTTGTACCATCCAGTTAGTCTCCTAGGCTGACCATGTTGCCCTCCTGAATGGTCATCCCTCCGGCCCCTCCCACTCTTGCCATTAAGTTTGAACTCTTTGTAGAAGCTAGAAGAGAGTAGGGTATCATTTCAACACCATGTGTGTACCTGCCAACGACCTAGATTCCAACCTGGCTGACTTCAGCAGCTTTCCTTTCATTCCGATTTTAAAAACGGATTTGGAGTGTCCTGTGCACACCCTTCCCTGACTCTGTTCCTCTCCTTCCTACTCCGGGGGGCGGTGGGGTGTTTTCACTGTAGTGGTTTTCACTGTAGTGCATTGAAGCTATTTGTGACACTAATGTGTGTTTCCACCAACCACATGAGCTACTCCTGAGGGACATCTGGGTCAGTGTCTTTAGCTGGGTCTGCTATTGGGCTCTTACATGGCATCAACCCCACTGCAGTTTGCTCACATGCAAGGGTTCTGAAGTGGTATCTCACCTTATCTGTCTGGTCTCATGTTTGTAGGTCTGTCTGGGCTCTCTTTTCCATGAACACCTATGGATAGCCTTTGCCCATTTCCCTATTAAGTCGTTGTATTTTTTTGTAACCCTTCAGATTTTCTGACCAATCTCTTTCCTGTGTGTTTATGGTGTTTTTCGTTGTGCAGAAATTTTACCTGTCAAACTTCCCGACCCGTCCTGTTGGGGATCCGTTTCTAGAAAAACTCACTCTTTCCGTTCTCAGAGTTAGACCCTTTTGCTTTGTACACTGAGAACTTTAATCCCTTTGGAACTGCTTGGGTTGTGGGGCTTGGGAAAGGGTAGCAGTGGGCAGCGTGGTAGGTGTCTTTGGAAGGGAAGCAGGCCTGGTTTTGAACGAGTTAAGTTCAGCGTGTCCTTGAGACCGCAGAGTGATAAATACTCCACACGCATCACTTTCTAATGACTTCACCATGTTTACTATTCTCTGCTTTGGAGCTGGCCAGGGGCAGTTGAAACCTGGGAACATTTCAGTGGTAGGGTTGCCAGTGTGTGCTTTTCTCTTCCTGGTGACAGAGGGGGCAGGGGGCATCAGAAAACGAAGGGCTCACTGTTGTGGCTTCTTTGCACATCCTCTGTGTTTCTCCATCTTGTTAGGGGCTGTTGCCCCTGGGGGCTCAGCTAGCTTCCACCCACCATCCTCATTAACTCCACCCAGAGGTTGCCCTCTCCTCCATACCTTCCGGACAGGCCTGCACTCTGATTTAAGGTGCTGGGTCTGTGCACAGTGCCCATCCCCCTCTGACATCCAGTTTGCCCTGCGCCCCGCCCCACTGCCTGGGCCCAGTTTCCATAGCAACGCTGCTGTGGTAAAGATTCCAGGGAGAAAGACATTCCTGCGGTTCTCCTGTCCCCTGAGCATCCCCTGGTGTGCTTGCAGTTTCCCTGGTGGCTGCAGGCTCTCCTTGAGGAGACGGGTCGGAGTCCTCCTGTCTTATTCACACCTAAGGGCCATGGGCAGCCGCTCGATGGTTGGAGACACAAAAGCCCTCATTTGGGGGCATCTATGGTTTAAGTCCAACCACAGTGGCCATGTCAAGTCACTGCCGTGATGTCGCTGTTTGTGGAGCTGGGAATGAGATGCGCAGTCGCACATCGTTCTAGAGAATTTCCGCCACGCAGACACAATAGCCGGAAATAACCCCAGGGCAGAGAGAAACAAAAAAGCGTAGCTTAATCGTTAGAGAGCGATGAGCTTGGAGTATTTGTTGCCTTG